TTTTTTAAACCCTGTGTTTAAACCTCTAGTACGAAGTTATTTTATGCTTGTATTATGAATATTCTAGCCCTGATTGAAATATGTTTGGTATTTCGAAATCACAAAAGGTTTTTAAATACTACAAATAATAATAGAATGTTATTATCTTGGAAAAATATTTACTGTTTGTTATCTTTGAAAAATATCTATTGTCTCTTATCTGTTAGTTAAGTTTAATAATACAATAAAATCATGGCACATTTTGTAAAAAGACATGAAAGCCAATGAGATTGATACATCTAGCCAAGTGATAACTGAGTTTGATTTATATTTATATAACATACTATGTTTAAGTCAATCACAAATAATTTTCATAAAATAGTAATATAGTTTTTTTTCTTTTGATTTCTTCCATTCTAGATAATGTGTACCATTTAGTGACCGTTAATTAAATTATTTAGAGATCGTAAGATACGGTCTGGAGTGATGTAGGTTTAGAAAAACATTTTCTTTATCGTGCCAACGTTTCGATCTTTAATGAAATCATCTTCAGGGCCTGTGATTTATAAACATTGTTTAAATTATATAAATACGTATAAGATACGAATATGGATTTATACATTGATATACACAACGTAGAAATTTTAGGTTTAATCAAACTATCATCGACAAAGAAAACACACTTTGTGTGTGAGTACAAACATTTTGATTAACCTAAAATAATTATATTGTGTGATCTCAATAAAGATCGAAACGTTTGGACGATAAATAAAATGTTTTTTCTAAACCTACGTCACCCCATACCGCATCTCCCGATCTCTAAATAATAACTATAGATAATAGAGTTATTTTCAGGCCAAAATTACAGAAGGTGGAAGTTGTTTGGTACATACAACACACGTTTTTGTGTACAAAAATCAGATTATGTACGAAAAACAAATTCACTAATTTCGTGGTCCGCTTGACCAATTAATATTTATCTCAACTAAAAACCTTAATTAATTATAATAATAACAACACTGAATCTATTAATTGAATTGTTGATTCATTGAATTGAGTTTCTAAACTTTAGCTATCTCTTTCAAATATTCATTGGTTGAAAACGATGGTTCTACTAAAAAACTGTTTTTCGCAATTTTCCAATTTTTTTAAATGTTCATCATCGGACTGAATGATAACTACATGTTTCAGAACATAAATTTTACATTTTATTCAGTCTGATGATGGGCATTTGAGAGGGTTCGAACTATATATATATTCGTATACCTGCGAAATTCAGTTTTTGAGAAGAACCATCATTTTCAACCTATACTGATAACTGCGAGAAGAAAAAAAAAGTTAAAAGTTAAACTAACAAATTTATAAGTTCATTCTACCTTAACTATTTCAACCTCTTCCAGACATTTAATATTCATTATTTCTGCATCAAGATTATTCTTTTTAGTAACATTATTGACAGATCCAGTTGAGATCGACATAATGGCAAAACTACAGGTACATCTACCTGCAGATCCCAAGAGGAACTTACAACAATGAAATTTGTTTGTTGATCGTTAATTATAATACGATATTCATGCTTAAATAAAACGACTTAATGATACAGTCATTAGGATTTATGTAATAATTGGAAGATGCGACATATTTAATTGTCTGACTATTCTTCATTTGTTAAAGGGAATTCTGCATCTTCGACAAAAGGAATTTTATGGCTAACTACCTCTCTATTTATTGACAAGCTTGGTACGTTTTTCTATCATTAATCGCAAATCATTTAAATCTACTTTGGTAACTAGTTTTTGCTTTCGTACTGATGATTACAAACGGTTAAAACAACGCAAAATTTGTAAAATACGTTCATAAATGTAAATATCTCGGAGTAATTTTGGATGCAAATTTGAATTGCAAAGGACATGACGTACAACTAACTTTTAAATTTATTCCATAAATTTAAAATTTTAAAAGGAGTTTTGGATTCCAAAATGTTAAAGATCGTTCATTTCTCATCAATCACTGTTATCCTAGGGTAGCTTTGGGTGGTGGGAGGGATGATAATATAAATAAATTACTTGTTGCTCAAAAAACTTATAAAAATAGTTTTAAAGAAAGAACCTACTTATAAATACGACTGCCTTATTTAATGATTTCTCAGAGTTAACGTAGAACTGTTATTGTTTATATATTTTTATTGATATCCTAGGACATAGTATTTTGGGGTTGTGAGAGCGATGTTAATATAAATAAATTACTTGTTGCCCAAAAAACTTATAAAAATAGTTTTAAAGAAAAAATCTACTTACAAACGATTGCCTTATTTAATGATTTCTCAGAGTTAACGTAAAACTGTTATTTATTTATTTCTATAAGAATAATATCTACCAATATTAATCACAAAATTATAGCACAATACACAAAGGTTAATTTCATTTTACCTAAATTTAAAATTATATTTTTTTTTATAACCATTCAGCTAAAACATTACTAAGTTTTCATAGAAGTATAATTTTAAATTTATACAATTTTTCTTCTCTAAATCGTTTCAAAAAATACGTTTCTAAAATATTATATTTACATCATTATCATTTTTGCTTACCTTATTGCCAATTTAATATTACAAATATTGGATTATTTAGACTTTTTTTAAATTACTCAATGATTATTATAAAAATTTTATTGTCCAGGAACTAAACTCCAACTTCCTACCATAAAATAATTTTTGAGAGCTGACCGATTGTAAATTATTAATACTTTAGGTAAATAAATATTATTATTCTGTGTGGCTAGTTTGGTTTCTAGGTGGGAAAAAAAATTTTTTTTTGTAGATAACCGGTAGAAATTTATGTAAAAGTTTAACAAGGTGATCAACGAATTCGGTGATAATTTACTGTAAAATCGAGCTTACTTTGTAGTGGCCGAAGAAGGCCAAAAGGCTAAGTGCCCTCCTCGGTTTTTTCCCCCCGACCGTTCGGCATTTCCGAACAGGTTTGGATATGAAATCTCCCGCTGGACAAGTCATTAACCCCTTTTTGTAGTCAATTCGAAGCGTAATTGTTTAATCCTTCTCGTTCTTCCACCGGATAATCTTGGGCATTTTCGAATCATGCACGATCAGACGGGACTGATACGTTATCGGCTTTGGAAATAAAAATTCCCAAATACCGTGACTAAAAAGTCGAGAGATTACAAATCACCTGTTTGATTTTGTATCACCTACAATTCGAATTTAAAAACTGAATAAATCGAGAAGGCATTTGTAGTAAATAAATAACCGCCGATGTACTGCTTTGCATCATCAATCGATGCCTTTGTCTATTAACATACTGAAAATCGCTATCTGCTCTTCTGACAAATGACCTATTGTAAAGTATATGGTTTTAGGTTATTTATGCTCTCGCAGATCAACATTCCAACGGGTATCTATCCTCTTGATCTTTAGGGACAAGTCAGCAGTTTTTCTTTCGTTTTTTTTACGTAGCTGTTTAATGATTGTGATTAATTTCATGTCGGACTAGTATTCATAAACAGGCCGTCAATTTTAACTCATGTTCAAAAAACGTTTTTGAACAGCGGTTAAATTTGACTTCCCACCTGTCAAAAGCTTTCATGTTCGGTAAATATTTTATTGTTTAAACCACAAAGGCTAAGGTTTATCGATTGGAAAACGGTTTATATATGCAGATAAATATTTATGTTGAATACTACGATCTATTTGACTAACTATACAATCAATGTTTTAACAGTTTTAGGACATATTTTTATACGATGTCAGATTAATTCTAGAATATGATCACAACCATGAATTTCTTTTACTAAATCATATTTGTCTGAACAATTCTGTATTGACCTTTTCAAAAATGTCACGGTTTCCGTCGAAAGGTAAATTTTGAAATGATTCATTTTTGTGCGCGAGTTCAAAAATTTTCCTGCCCTCTGTAACAAAATGAATCATGAAATCGTTAATCCCCCCCCCCGACTATGCTATTTTTGTTACTGCGATTAGCCTCCGTTAATATAAGACACATTCGGATTCCATATTTCTTAATCCCCTTATGCTTTGAATCATTCGATTCTAACTTCCTAATCGATTTTTTCGAACTTTAAATATCGAATACTCTGAACTACATTTGCACATTGAACTTATTAGCCAAAAGCCGTGTAAGAATTTTTTTTAAATGTTTTATTTTATAATAAACATCGTTGTCTAAAAGGACATTAAGTCTACAAATCTCGGTGACCCGATCTTTTTTGTTCATTTTCTCTTTTCGCCTTGTACTTTGTTAAAAATCCTTTACACGCAAAAAAACCTGTTGGATTTCTTGACTCATTTTTTTTTAACTAAAAAAAACAAAAAAACAACACGCTTATCTTGTTATTTACATATATTATCCACATGATTTAACATAAAAAACTAACTATACAATTGAAAAGGATTTTAATAAAGAAAATGAAACAGACTTTCGACAACAACGAAGCGGAAAAAATCAAAGACACTCCGCGTCGAACCCCTGGGCTCAAGTTTCTCTCGTAAAAATAAAAATAATAATAAAAATAAAAACCCACAAGGCCAAAGCTTTTTACTAATTTAAGTGTGTTTCTGCATGAAAATAGAGCAATGGAATCTGAATATTGGATTTGTCGAAAAATTTAAAGCAAACTGAACTAAAACAGAATTGTAACAAATTATGTTGTAGCATATTTTTTTAAATATTGGTGAAATTTGTTATGGAATATTGTAAAACTTGTGAATTTTATTGTAGTTCTTTTTTTTTGGTTGTGTTCAACGTGGGCAATTAAGAGGTGTGTACTTAAAAAAAAATTATCGTCTGTAGTTTTTGTTTGAAGAACGGTTGTTCTCAGTGTGCTGTAGGTGTTTTGTTGACGATGTTTATAATATGAGCGTTATCTTTCAAGACTACCGATAACTTGTATAACAGATAGGATTACATTCTGGCAAAATCTGAACCGTGAGATGTCCCCAGGGCGGAGATTGCCAAGTGTCTATGAAAACCGTGAGCAGGTCTTACCTTCGTCGATGAGCCTTTCAACGTGCATGAAGACATTGGGGAAGGCGGTCACTTGTTTCCTGTCCTTGAGGAGTTGTGCGAGATAGTCGGCTATGCTCTGCGTGCTGTTCACAGAGTGGTCACTCATCCTGGCCTTTTCTGTCTCTCTCTCACTCTTCTGCCGGGTCCTCGAGTCGGCCTTTTGATAGACGAATGTTCACGTTCCGGGGGGTCTGCGGGGGAACGAGGTGCTGGGGCCTTCTCAGTCACTCGAGAAGCACACGCGTCTTTGGTGAAAACGAGACGACACAGCACGAACGATGGGCGGACGGGGACTGACTCGTCGGATGCGACACTGGGGCATGGCCGCCTCCCCGCTCCCCACCGACGCGGACCGACCCGGCTACCCCACCACAACGAGCACGTCTCGGCTCCTTTGTCGGCTTCGTCACTGAGGAGGGGGGGCCGACTGTCACTCTCTCATTAAAAAACTACACACTGATTACATTTACATTTCCCAGATATAAAGGAAAACTAAATTTCTGTACTAAATATTACACTGTCAGGTAAAAAAATTACACCCAATTGATTTTTTTTATTTTCTTGACAAAAGAAAATTATGCCCTTAATTTCTCTCACTGTTTTTATCAATAAATATTGGTTTATGCTATTTTTTTTACGAGGGTTCGAAACAGCAGAGTTTATATCACCCTCGGGGTGCCAGTGTCTTTGAAAAAAAGCCCATTTGTAAGTATGTCGGGTACGAATGCAGGGCCGCTGGATTCGAACCCGGGTCCTTTACCTTACAGTGATGAGCGCCATGTCAACGCCTAAACCGTTGCGGCCACCGACGCCCCTCTTTATGCTATTGTAGTACAGCATGTATATATCTTTTCTTATTATCTGTTAACTGTATATCTTATGCAAATAAATTTTTAAATGTTTCAATAAGAAAGACAATAAAAAGTGAACACAATGAATGTCGTCGTTAGAGCTCTAATTACCGAGAGTAACCTTCTTTTCTACCCGTTGTCCAGTGTTGTTATGGCCTACACACCCCACCTCTAGTGAAGAGGTCAGTCCTCAAAGCAAGATGGAAAACGGACTCGGCAGCGGGTCTGACGAGGAAGGCATTCTGATGCTGACGCTGGGACGTCGCGTGTTGCTGGTTCTGGAGGGTTGTTGTATCCCGCTTTGAGGTGCCATCTGTATCTGGGATCAGGCAGACATCCTGACACCTAAAAAGCTTCAAATCAGCTCTCAGTTTTTTCGGATCCAGAGCTGTTTGGAAATGATGTTCCGTCTTCTCACCTTCACCGCCACTAGACAACCATCTTTCATCTGTCATTTCGGCAGCACGAGTTGGCTAACCCCCATCTAAAGCCTTTTTTTGCAGTATCCTGAAACGCCTCTTATGTTGGCGGATTTCATTTTGAACACGATTTTTATCGTGTTTTCCCCAATTCACTCTGATATTTACATAATTTTCCGAGTGTTTGTCTCCCGAAGTTTCCGTTGTGTAGCGGTTATCATATCTGCCTGACACGCAGAAAATCCCCAGTTTGATCCTGGGCGGAAACACCACTGTAGCGGCTCTAAATAAAGAATTATTTTAGAAATGTATTATACAACAAAACACTTATTTGTTTGTTTACTGAAAGAACTGTGCACAATTAATTAACATACAAGTACATAACATTCTTTTTTTGGGCATCCAAAAAGCGTTTGACTCTATCAGCCATGAATTGTTATTAAAAAAACTTGACATCTATGGCTTCCATGGGACTCCCCTCAAATTTTTTGAAACATACACATACCTAACTAACAGACAGCAGTTTGCAAAACTAAATAATGCTTATAGCGAAACAGAATACGTAAACTATGGAGTCCCACAGGGGACAGTGTTAGGGCCATTGCTCTTCATTTTGTACATCAATAATATTTCTCCTTTAGATATTAATGGCTTGCCGTTTTTACGTATTTATTTTTACTGACAATTGATTTATTAATTTATTAAATATTGTTTGGAATAGATTTAAAATAATTAAAGAATGGATGAATACTAACTTATTATCAATCAATATAAATAAAACCTCTCTGATGTCCTTTTGCAATGGTTTGAGACTACAATCACCTACATCGTACCCAAATCTCACTCTTCACAAAAATGAATGTAAATCATATGTTGGAAATTGTGAGTGTCCAGTACTAACTTTTACTACTAGATGTAAATATTTAGAAATTTGGTCCGATTGCAATATGAAAGTTAAAGTGCATGTAGAAACTCTCGCCAAACGTATTGGTAAATTATTTTATAAATGCAAAATATTGAGAAATATTCTTGAGCCTCACACTCTGAAAACTGTATTTTGCTTTATGTCAATCATTATTTCAATATGGTGTGATAGTATGAGGCCAGTAAAAAAACTATCACATAAGGTTTGTGTTGCTCAAAAGATTGTAATTAAAATTATACTAAATGTGTGGTGATTAGTGACCGTTAATCGATAATTATTCAGAAATCATAAGATGCGGTCTGGTGTGATGTAGGTTTCAGAAAAATATTTTCTTTATCGTGCCAACGTTTCGATCTTTATTGAAATCATCTCCAGGGCTCAAAGTGTTGTGCCTAAACTCTCAACACAACACGCAAGAATGGCACAATTACACAGAAGACAAACACTTTGATCCCTGAAGATGATCTCAATAAAGATCGAAACGTTGGCACGATAAAAAAAAATATTTTCCTGAAACCTACATCATACCAGACCGCATCTCACGATTTCTGAATAATTATTATACTAAATGTGTATCCAAGATTTAATTCTGAAGAATTGTTCAAAAAAATTGATGTCTTTAATGTAAACAAACTTTTTGAATTTGACGCATGCATTCATACATTTAAAGTTAAAACACATAGTTATAATTTGCATGTGTATCCTACTCGTTTATCTAAAAAATCAAAAAATGTCTTCCTTAAAATTAATTCTGAACGTTTTGCCAAACATGCCTTCATTGTTAGTTTAAAAACCACTTCAATTTTTATGACTAGTAATGTTAATAAATTCAAAAATTATTTAATAAAGCATGTAATTTGTAATATTTAAAGTTCTTCTCATTTTGTTAAAATATGTAAAAAATTTTGTTGTTCCAATCATCAGTTTGTAGAAGTATGCACTATAATTTATTACCTGCACATATCATGATCTCATGTAAAATATTGTTTTGCTTTATATAATGTAACTCTAACCAACTCCCTCTGTACTAGAATGTTCTTATGTTGGCATAAGAAATACCTATTTTTGTTAACTTGTTTTTTTCTATCTCTTTTCTTGTGTAGAAGAGGGATGTCTTGTTTATAATTGTCATCTGCGTATGTGCGGTAAGTGGGCGTATCAGCAGTAAAAATTGGGTACAACAGCGGAGCGAGTATTGACCCTTGTGGCACACCCGCAAGCACTCCTTCCATCCCATAAATCTCCGTACCCTGGTTTATTGCGAAAAATCTCTCCGTAATGTATACGATTGGAATTGATACACTGAAACTGCCGAAGGGGTAGAGAGACCTAATAACTTGTCGAACCGACGTTGAACGAGCTCGAAGACGTTCGACATCTCTCCAAGTGTGAACATTTTCCACGGTTGTCGAGTCGAAAAAAAAATGTGTGAACTTATCATATTAATAATTAGTAAAATTGTTGACCATTGAATAAAAAGCGGATAGATAACAATATTGGTCTTATCAAGCGCAAAGTACAGTGAATGATGATATCATTGTACTGTACAAAGAAAATCCAGTGAAACCCCTCTTAACGGACACTCCTCCATAGCGACAACCTCTCTTGACGGAAATTGTTATATTCCCGATAAAATAGGTATTTCCTCTATAACGGAACTCCATACGGTCGCGGACACTGCCGTCAGTCCCCATTGGAACAATTCACCCCTTCCTGAACGGATCTAAACAGTAAAAATATATTACAACTCCATTTGAAACACTATTTTTCCAAATTTTTAACAAACTGATTTCTAAATTAAAAACTAACCAGGGAGTCAGTAAACAGATGTAGCAGTTAAAAAAAATCCGATAGAAAGACTAGTAAACGAAATAAACACACGCAAACGCCGGCGATGACCTCGGCTGCTTGTCTGCCCATAAACTTCCCACAATATATATATAAATCAAAAATTGATCTCTGCAAATTAAGAGCAGAGCGATTTCAGGCAATCACAGCTAACCGTATGACTGAAGACAAATCACTTTGGACACCCACCAGACGCTTCATAATGACGACGAATCATGGGCCAAGTCCTTTACCAGTTACAGAAACCATAGAAAAAAACTGTCCAACAAGTACCCCCTGACCCTTCCCCCAAACGATTTTCATCATTCAAACACCTCAAATCCTTAAATTTCTAAAAAAAATAAGCAATCCTCTTCCTATGGCAGGAAAGCAGTATCATCTGCGAGAGTATTTGTCGGGCAAGGTAGTTAGATCAGCGGAATACAGGATGAGGCCAAGTTAACATGTGGTACTCCACCCTTAACAGGATAGTAGAGACACGGATGTTCCCTGGCTGAAGAAGAAGTCAGGTAGATCGGAGGATAAGGAAATAGGTGAACGTAACTTTGTAATATTGTCTTAAGAATACTCATTTTTCCTTACAATGGATGTTTTCCATTATGATCCCAAGCCACATAAACCTAAGACCATCTACCTCAATCCTATCGCTGGATAAACTATGAAAAATCCGCGAGAAGCTGGCTTCCACAAACACCATCACAATACACCAATGCCACCGTGTTACAGACGCAATGTCTTCACCTCTTGAGCTAAAACATAACTGCTCAGGTGCTTTCCTTGATGTAGCTCAACCCTTCGATATGACATCCGGGTTTGCTGTGGAGCTACAGAGCAACTTCTCTTCACCTACGATCCTCCTCCGATCTTACCTGACTTCTTCTTCAGCCACGGAACATCCGTGTCTATCCTGTTAAGGTTGGAGTACCACAGTTGGTCCCATCCTGTATTCCAAGTACGCCGCTGAACTACCTTCCTTTCCCGACAAATGCTCTCGCACATGATACTGCTATCCTGCCTTTTAATAAAGATCCCGCATATTTATTAAATTACACGAAATTCTTAAATTACGACTCTAATACCAAGGGAAATATGAGAAGAAGAACCCAAACTAAACGACACCTATGGGTTGTGCATTTTTCGAAGTTCGAAAAGAAAGAAGATCCAATTCCACAATAAACCTTTTAGGTCGCTGAGGAAAAAATATAGTCTTTGGTCTCCAGTGACTCGGAGGAAGGAAAAAACTGCTGACGAACAGGACGGCCAGATTCTGCAGAAGGTAAATTTAAATT